TTATCTCAGATTCTCCAGCATCTGCAGTTCCTACTGTCTCTGGTTCATGGGACACTGGTGTCAGTGCTGGGGAAAGTTGGGGCATTGGGACAGTCTGCACCTGAACCATACCAGGACCAGTATTCTAGCAAGCCATGTAACTGGAAAGTAGAGAGGACTTTAAACAATGAGAGCAAGGGAACATGCTTGAGTAGCTGTAATAAAATCAAGGGATTGAATTGAGGAAGTAGACCAAAATATCAGTATGGGAAATTAAGTGTCAAGAATATGCCAACAGTCAAGATTAGATATTACAAAGATAATAAAAAGACAAAACTACAAGCATGTTGCATTCATAACTAAGTAAACAAGTTGACAGAGCACATTGAACTAAATAAATGTAATCTGCTGGCCATTACGGAATCATAGCTGCAGGATTACAGGAATTGGGTCCTGGATATTGAGAAGTATATGACATTTCAAAAAGAATAAGCTCAGAGAAGTAGTACTCTTAATCAAGGATGGCATTAATGCTATTGTTAGAGATGACCTTGATTCAGTAGATGAGGATGTATTATTGGTTTGAGTGAAAATGTGGAATAGTAGATAAAAGGAGTCATTTGTAGCAGTGGTTGTCATATCTCCTAGTAGTAACCACAATGTAGGGCGAAGTGTGCAAAAATAAATATTGGACACTTGTGTTATTTTAATCTACACAGTTATTTTTATTTTTAATGAACATGTTTGGGCAAATTATGACACACCTTTAGAACAGGAGGAACTTGAGCCTGGGCCTTTTGGCCCAGAAATAAGAAAACTACCACGGCAGCACAAGAGCCCTAAACTTTAGTAAGCTATAGAAATGTTTGTGTGTCTCATAATTGGCTGACCAAAGCAGCAACTGAACCTATGACTTAGGTTTAATGAATAGAACGTTAACAATCTAAGTTAAGCACACACGTGTCCATAATAGGCTTTGCTTGTAAATACTCAATTCATGGTTATTTTTGCTGGTGGTTGTTACTAGTTTAAAAAAATAGTTGCGGTGAATTTGGTGGTGAGGAGGCACTCAGTTGTGTGTGGTAACACTTCTGGATAGAAAAAGAACAATCTAAGTTAGCTGGCCTCAATGTCTACTTCATCTTTAATCTATGTATAAATTGGAAAAATGAGGTTGATAATTGTAGCCTGGATGAGGCATTCATAGAATGTTTTTGAAAGAGTTTCTTAGGGCAGCATGTTCCAGAAACAACCAAAGAGCAATTTATACTTGACTTCATATTGTGTAATGTGACAGGATCAACTAATAACCCCAGAGTAAAAGCAACTCCTAAACAGCAGCCATCACAAGATGATTGAATTTTGCATTCCGTTTATAAGGGAGAAGAGTGGAACGAAGCTAAACATTTTAAACCTAAATAAGGGCATTTGTGTGGGCATGAAGGCTGAACTGAACTAGGATGTTAGACTAAAGTTATAGATTAATAGAAATGTAGTGGCAGGTATTTAAGAGGATATTCGGCAAACTCAATAAATATATTCCGGCCGTAAGGAAAATTCTAAATTGCGGACTGCCATCCATGGTCAATTAAAGAAATTGAGGAAAGCTTGCCAAAGTTAAGGAAAGACATATAACTGCGAAAAGATGTGTCAGTTCACATGATTAGTCAGAACACAAAAAACGGCAGAGAATGACTAAAAATTAATCAGGAGAAGGAAGTGAGAATGCGAAATTATAAGCCAATTAGCTTGGTGTGTGTCTTGAGGCAGTTGTTAGCATTGATCATTAAAGGGGTTATAGCTGGCCATTTAGAAAAACTCAAGATAATCAGTAAGAGTTATTATGGTTTTCTGAAAGGGAAATCATATTTAACCAATTTATTGGAGTTCTTTGAAGGAGTAACATGAGCTGTGGATAAAGGGGGAGCCTGTACTTGGGTTTTCAAAAGGCTCTCACAAAGTGCCAAAAAGGGCCTAAAGTGGGAGCTCATTTTGTAGGGGATAACATATTAGCATAGATAGAAATTTAGCTGGCTGGCAGAAACCAGAGTATGTATAAATGGATTTTTGTTTGATTGACAGGATGTCATAAATGGAGTCCTGCTGGCGCCTTGGCTTTTTGAAATTTATGTCAATGGCTTAGTGAAGGCATTGCCCCTAAATGTATGAATGACACAAAGATAGGAAAAAGTATTGTGAAGAGGACATGAGGTTGCAGGTGATTATAGATAGGTTGAGGGATTGGGCTAAAATCTAGTAGACAGAGTATAATGTGGAAAAATTCTCAGAGGGTGTTGAAAGTTTGGAACTCTGTTGCTTAATGGTGGTGGAAACAGATTCGTTTTGACTCTTCTTTTGAAAGCAGGGGTCGATAGATCCTTGGTAAACAAGGGAGCAAAAGGTTACTGTAGGTAGAAGGCATTTAGTATGCTTGTCTTCATTGCTCAGTCCTTTAAGTATAGGAGTTGGGAAGTCATGTTGAGGTTGTACAGCACATTGGTGAGGTCTCTTCTGGAATACTGTGTCCAGTTCTGGTCGTCCAGTTACAGGAAGGATATTACAAGCTGGACAGGGTTCAGAAGAGATTTACCAAGATGTTGCTTTTTATGGAAGGTTTGAGTAATAAAGAAAGGCTGGGTAGGCTGGCACTTTTCTCACTGGAGCATAAGAGGTTGAGAGGTGACCTTATAAGAATTTATAAAATCATAAGGGCTATAGGTAGGGTTAATGGTAGTTGTATTTTCCCTAGGATGGGGGTTTTCAAAATCAGGAGGCACATTTTTAAGGTGAGAGAAGAGAGATTTTAAAAAAGATGTGAGGGGCAAATTGTTTACACAGAGGGTAGTTTGTGTATGGAATGAACTTCTTGAGGAAGTGGTGGATGTGGGTACAGTTACAACCTTTAAAAGACATATGGCTAAGTACTTGGATAGGAAAGGTTTAGAGGGATATGGGCCAGGAGCAGGCAGATGGAACTACTTCAGTTTGGGATTAAGTTCAGCATGGACTGAAGGGTCTGTTTCCATGCTGTATGACTCTTATGACCATAAAGCAGATTTGAGAGTAGTCAGGATTGTCACAACTTATTAAATGTCAGTGCAAGCTCAAGAAGCCATTTAGTCTGACTTTGCTCCAGATGTGAATGTTTGCATCTAAATTTTAGTTAATAAGGAGCACAGTTCTGTATGAGAAAACTTTATTGCACTGAAGAGTAGTTAAGGGTTTGGGAGTTGACTTCAATATTTATCATATTTTTTGCAATTTGTATGTGGCAATGAATTTGGTTCTGCAGCACCTATTTTATCTCAACTGCTTTATCTGCCTCAATTCTGTATTGCTTGACGTTGTCAATTTCAGTTTCAAAACGTTTGAATGAGCCACATTGGGAGACAGCTTGAAATTTCTTCATCCCAAGGCATGGAAAGTGTTTCCTGAATTCACTTTTGAGTGATCTAACTTTAATTCTGATATTATGTTGCATTATTCTGGATATTCCCATGGGATGAAGAAGTTTCTCTCTGTCTACCCTGTCAAGTCATCTTTGAGATGTGTTGGTCAAAACTGCTCTCTGATCAATAGATAACAATGATCAATAGGTGGTCTAACCAGAGTTTGGGATAGCTAAAGCTTGAATTTTCGGACTCTTAGATTTAAAAGTCAATGCTCTATTAGTCTTTTGATTATTTACCTGTTCATGACATTTTAATGAACTTTGTACCTGGGCTCAGAGTCTCTTTGGACCTCCATTTAGAATACTCCCTGTTAACCTGGACAAGGTGAGGGTCCTAGTGGAACAACTAAATAGATCAGTCACAAGAACATAAAACTTTTAAATAATAAAAAATTATCAACTGTAACAACTCTGTTTTCGTCAGCACAAATGCTGTCTGATCTACTCTGTACTTCTGGCATTTTCAGTTCTATTTCAGATTTCCAGCAACTGCAGCATTTTGCTTTTGTATTATGGTTGAGGAGATTTGATTGAGGCATTCAAAATCCTGACTGGTTTAGGTAATGTAAATAAGGAAAAATGTTTCCACTGTCAGATGGCTGGGTGACCAGAGGAGACAGACTGATACTGATTGGCAAAAGGGCCATCTGTTTATTTGTATATGCAACAAGTTGTTGTGATCTGAAATGTACTACTTGAAAGAATATACTTTTAATTGCAGTGTTACTAATGTGTACTTGAAGGGGGCAGAAACTCTCAGTAGTGTGAGGAAGAACCCGGATTAACTGGATATTTCTGCCCCTGGCATGTTGGATCAAACCATCTCCTTCCTCGCCTTACCTCCAATACACCTTAGTGAGAGCTTTGAGGCTACAAGTTCTGATTTGCATTTGTTGATTGGCTTGGAAGGAAAATTAAATAGTAAGCTTCCTTATGGAATATTGACCTGCCTTCTCCAATCAGTAAGATCATGACTGAACTTCTACATCACCTGTACTTTCCTGCCCTATCAGCCCCCATATCCCATTATGCCTCTACAGTCCAAAAGTCTATTGATCTCAATGGCGAGTATACTGATTAACTTAGTATCTACAGCTTTCTGCAATAGAATATTCCAAAGATTCACAATCCCCAGAGTGAAAGATTTATTCTCTTTGGTCTTTAAATGGTCAATGCCTTATCCTGAAACAATCTCCCCAGCTCAAGACTTCTGAGCCATGAAAAGCAACCTCTCAGTACGTGCCCCGTCAAGTCTAACTATTTTATCCAATCTCATCAGAGATCCTCCTATTCTTTTAAAATCCAGAGAACATAGAAACCATTTATTCTTGATCTCTCTTCATAAGCAAGCCTTCTCAACTGCAGAATTAATCTAGCAAACGGTTATTGCCCCTGTAAGGCAGATGCGTCCTCTCTTGGGTAATATGCACTGTACTCTGTGTGTGGGGTCTCCAGTACTTCGTGAAGGTTAACAACTTTTATTGTTGGTGTGAGTAAACGTGAATTATGATTTAGCAGGGCATATCAGTGTTTTTGCTGTTTAAGATTTTATATTTTGTTCTTTAGCAGTTTGTCTTTGCTATCATTTTCTGATCTCACTGAGAAGAACTACTTTCAGCACCGGATTCAGATTATGGAAGAATTGGCGCAAAAGCTGGAACAATACAAGGTAACTGAAATAAAATATTGATTTAATGACTTCATCGTTTAAATTTTCCCCGCCATTAACAGCTTAGTCTCATCCTCCAAGGGATCTACATTCACTTCAGCTATCCTGTTTTCTTATTCATTCACAGGATGTGGGCATTGCTGGCTAGGCCAGTATTTATTAGCTGTCCCTAATTGTTAAGAGTCATTCACATTGCTGTGGGTCTGGAGTCCCATGTAGGCCAGACCGCGTAAGGATGGCAAATTTCCCTCTCTAAAGGACCTAGTGAATCAAACGGATGTTTCCCGACAGTCAGCAATGTTAGACTCTTAATTTCAGGTATTTTTGATTGAATTCAAATTCCACCATCTGTTATAGCAGGATTCCAGCCCAGATCCCCAGGACGTTACCTGGCTGCCTGAATTAATAGTCCAGTGATAATACCCACTAAACTATTGCTTCCGCTTACTTTTTATATACTTATAGAAGCTTTTGCTATCAGGTTTTATATTTTGCACTTGTTTTCTTTCCTATTTCACCTTTGTTCTTTTTATCATGTTTTAAGTAACCCTTTGTTGATATTTAGAAGTTTCCCAAACCCCCAGGCTACCACTTGCCTTTGCAGTATGGTCTGCCTTATTTTTTGTCTTTAAATTATCTTTAATTCCTTGCCGAGCCATATATGACTTTTCCCTTCTTACAATCTTTCTTCATTTCTGAAATGTGTTTTGTTTGGATGTAGTTGAGTATCTCCTTAAACATCTGTCACTGCTCTTCAACTATTCTACATTTTAGTCTTCCTGCCTAATCCTCCAGGACCATATCTGTCCTTATGCCTGTGTAATTATCTTTGTTGAATGCCAATTTCTCATCCTCCACTGAATCACTCTTCCCATGATGCCAGCATACTTCTCTTTACTGGGTTTCATCTGATTAGTAATAACTTTGTAAAATAATATGTAGGGAAAGATTTTTGTATGATTCTTTTCACTTCCATCAGACATATTCCCAACCAGTAGAGCCTGTTATTTGCAGATGTTCGTACAACGTCTTCCATTATTTTAGAACAATAGAAAAGAAAAACTGAAGCAATACTAAACTTATTACTCTCATCAGTTGTGCGGATAAATTGCTGTTCAGACAGAGCCTGCATGTATTTGTAAAGTGTGAGTTAAGTTCAGTGAACTTAGTTTAAAATTTGATGAGGTAATAAACTTGGTAGAAAAGGATATACTTGTAGATTTCTGGAAGGCATTTGGCACAGTTTCGCGTAGTGACTTAACAAAAATTAGAATAAATGAAGTTGGATGTAACCCTGGAGGTTTTGATTAGGACTTGGAAAACAAAGCTTATGAGTAACTGATGTATACTCCAGATGATAAGATAATAATGATATTCACCAGAGATCTGTACTCGGGCCTTTTCACTACCTTTTCTTCACTCAGTCCTTTATAATTAGTTGGTATATCTAGGTTTGCTGATGACACTAAACGACATGGATGAAAGCAGCAAGTTGCAAATCAAACTGGCAGTTAGAATTTACAAATGTATGAAGTCATTTGCGTGGAAGATGAATTAAAGTATATTCTACATAACCAAAAAACAACTAGATGCTATAGATGAGCAGAGAGATCTAAATACAGAAAGCTTGGAGATAGGTACAAAATATCATTTAAAAAGGCTATTGAAATGGTGACTGTTATCTCAAGAGGACTAGACAGCAAAAATGTGGAAGTTCTGTTAAAGCTGTGCAGAGGTCTGGTTTGACACCGTCTGGACTTTAGCATTTAGTTCTGGTCACTGCATCTCTGGAAAGAAACACAGCACAGATTCACCTGAATGTTACTAGGGAAAAGAGGGTTAACTGATGAGAATGGGTTGCATAAATGAGGCTAATGTTTTTTTTGAATATAGAAAGTTAAAGATTGTTGTTAACTGATGTGTTGGAAGATAAATAAAGTTGTCAATGAGGTAGGAATATCCAACAGTATTTCTTCTCCCCTTACCTGTTCATCTGACTCTTCCCCCACCCTCCCACTCAAGATAAAACGGGCTGGTGATCAAATGAAAACTGAGATTGATACATTTTTAAGAGTGTGAAGTATTAGTGTGTGGAAGGAATCAAAATGATAAAATGTATATAAATCATAATCTCATTCAATGGCAGTCTCAAGGGTGTGGACAACCTACGCCTACTCCCCTGTTCTCAAATTTGGTGCAATTCCATTTGGCAGTTTGAAGTTTTTCTGAGGACTTTTAATTTTATTCCTTTTAAGACAAAACTGTCTTAAGAAATGAATCATGGAGTCGTACAGCATGGAAGCAGATCCTTCAGTCCAACTCGTCCCTCCCGACCAGATATTCTAAATTAACTTAGTCCCATTTGTCAGCATTTGACCTATATCCCTCTAATCCCTTCCTATTCATATACCCATCCAGATGCCTTTTAAATGTTGTGATTGTACCAGCCACCACCACTTCCTCTGGTGGCTCATTCCATGCATGCACCACCCACTGCACAAAAATGTTGCCCCTTACATCCCTTTTATATGTCTTCCCTCTCACCTTAAATCTATGCCCTGTTTTAGTTTTGGACTCCCCTATCCTGGAGAAAAGACCTTGTCTATTCACCCTATCCATGCCCCTCCAAGACTTTATAAACCTCTATCAGGTCACCCCTCAGCCTCCGATGCTCCAGGGAAAATAGCCCCAGCCTATTCAGCCTCTCCCTATAGTGCAAACCATCCAGCCCCGACAACATCCTTGTAAATCTTTTCTGCACCCTTTCAAGTTTAACATCTTTTCTAAACCAGGGAGACCAGAACTGAACACAGTATTCCAAAAGTGACCTAATCAATATTCTGGACTGCCACAACATGATATCCCAACTTCTATCCTCAATGCACTGGCTAATAAAAGCATACCAAATACCACCTTCACTACCCTGTCTACCTGTGACTCCATTTGTGTTTGAAATTTAATTAAAGGGTGAAGACAATATTGTATATAGCTGTTTGAAATGTTTTATATTGACAGTTTTATTTTGTTTTTGTCTTACTTTCAGGAAGAAATCAAAATCCTTCAGCTGCAGTTAGAGGAGAAATGCAAACAGGAGGTGGCCACCTCTTTGATGCACAAGGAGGCATTGCAGAAAGTTGAAAGAGAACTTTCACAGAGATACTTTGCAGACAGGGAAGAGCAGAAGACAAAGCACAGCCTAGAATTAACCCAGTTACAAGATCGACTCTCGGAGGAGCATCTTAAAGGTATACAACCTTCAAAAACTATAGCTTACTCACGTACATGGAATCTAGTCGATTGCACAAAATCCACTTTTTGAGTCCACGAGCATTATATGCCAGAATCTCACTGGGCATCATTTAAAAGAATTTGAACTAACGTACGTGAGGTTGATAGCAGTGCCTACAAGCTGGTTTAATGAAACAAAGAACTGCAGATGCTTGAAATCTGAAACAAAAACAGAAATTGCTGAAGAAACTCAGCAGATCTAGCAGCATCTGTGTAGAGAAAACATAGTTAATGTTTTGGGCCCAGTGGTCTTTCTTCAGAACTGCTAGTAGCTAGGCAAAGGCGACGTATATGCTGAAGACTGTGGTTGTGGGGTGCAAGTAAGTGAATAGTTAAAGACGGAGCCCAGAGAGAGAGAACAACAGTTAGACAGACAAGGGGATGGATGCTAATATGCCAGGGAGAAAGAAAAGCTGATAAAGGGGACCCATAAATGGATGAAAATGGTTTGGCAGTGCTGAAAGTAGCCCATGTCACGACGTGGCCAGGGTGTGGAGATGGGTAAAAGACATAGAAGAAAGTGTCCAGGTTTCATAAAGTTATGCTGACTCTACTTGATTAGATTATGATTTTTACAAATATTCTGCTCTTTCTTCCTTTATAATTTATTCCAAAATTTCAACAATAGATGCCAGGCTAATTGGCCTAAATTTACCTGCTTTTTGCCTCCATCCCTTCTTGAATAAGGGTATCACTTTAGCAATTTTCCAGCTTTAATTGTTTAGCAACTTCTCCGAAATCCAGCAATTTTTGAAAAATTACAACCAATGCATCTGCTATCTCTGTAGTTACCTCTTTTAGGTCCTAGGATGCCACCCAGCTGGGCCAGGGGACTTGCCTGCCTTAAACCCTATTAGTTTGTGTAATACTTCTTTTTAGTTCCTCCTTTGCTGGATTCTGAATTTATCCAGGTCTTTGGGACTATCGGTGACTTTTGTCTCCTTAAATGCTTTTTCTTTCAACTTAATACTTTCCTTAACTTTCTTGGTAAACCGTGGTTGGTTTATTCCTCTCTTGGAATTTTCCTCCTTACTGGGACATATTTTTGCTGGAGTATTAATGAGTATTTTTATGTCGAATGTCATTTCTCTAATCTATCCATGCAATCACTTTAGCAAACTTTCATTTAAAATCCTGTTCTGTTCCACTCAGCCAGATATCACTTCAAATTTTTCACTAAAATACCTTTCCTGCTTTCCTCCATTAACCTGTGCACTGAATGACTTCTTGTCCGTTGAACCTTTAGCTCAGGTCTCCTCTTTCCTCCATAGCTCACTGCCATATTTTCCTGTCTAAAGCTCTCTCTCTATATAAACTCTGCTTCCTATATTTATGGCTACCCACCCCCCTTGATTTTGTCATATTGCATTACTTCCCTACTCCTATCATTACTATCATGGATAATTCTTTGCTGGTTTCACTGTCTACCTACTCCACTCTCAACCCCTCTTCTGTGTCCATCCTTGGAAACAGCTTTCTATCAAGTCACTTCCCACTAAATGTAAAATTGAAAATATTTAACCTATAGTTCTTCATAACATGTCTACAGCTACTGGTTTGCTAAATCTCGTCCTTTACTGCCTTTAATGCCCTCATCCCCACTTGAACTCATACGTATAAAATAGGTGCCGGAGTAGGCCATTTGGCCCTTTTGAGCCTGCACCACCATTCAATATGATCGTGGCTGATCATGCAATCTTAGTGTCCCATTCCCACTTTCTCTCCATAGCCTGATCCCTTCAGCCACAAGGGCCACATCCAGCTTCCACTTGAACATATCTAATGAACTGGCCCCACAGATTCATAACTCTCTGAGCGAAGAAATTCTTCCTCATCTCAGACCTTGAATGGCTTGCTCCTTATTCTGAGACTGTGACTCCCAGTTCTGGACTTACCCAACATCGGGCACGTTCTTCCCACATCTAGCCTGTCCAGTCTCATCAGGATTTTATATGTTTCTATATGATCCCCCGTCATTCTTCTAAATTCCAGCAAGTACAAGTCCAGTCTTTCTTCATATGTTAGTCCTGCCATCCTGAGAATCAGCCTGGCAAACTTTTGCTGGATTCCCTTAATAGCAAGGATGTCTTTCCTCAGATTAAGAGACCAAAACTGCACACAATACTCAAGGTGTGGCCTCACCAAGGCCCTGTATAAGTGCAGCAACATATCCTTTCTCCGATACTCAAATCTTCTTGCTATGAAGGCCAGCAGGCCATTAGCTTTCCACACTGTCCGCTGCACCTGCATGCCAACCTTCAGTAACTGTTCCACCATAACACCCAGGTCTCATTGCATCTCATGCCATCTCTCACCCTCTAATTGTTCTCTTGTTATACCCTTCATTTCTTCGCCTTTAGGTCCAAGAGAACGCAGTACAAATGTATTTCAACCATCCTTTACGATATTGTCTAGTCTATTTAAAACATTGTTGGACTATTCTCTTGTAGTTAAAATTAATAATTGTTCAAAGATCATCCAAGATTGCAAAGATGATCCCTACCTTTACTCCTGCTATCATCTTAAACCACCCTGGTTAGTCTCCACTTTCAACTCCAGGAAGAAATGCAAAGAGCTCACATAAAGATTAAGACCATCCATTCTGCTGCCATTGCCATATCCTTTCCTTTCCTTAGCCCATCAGGGCAGACTCTGCTTCTGTTGTCCTAGCCCTAAACTTACCTTCTGTTGATTCTATCTCATACTGTCCAGCACTGTTTTTGAGCTCTTCTTGTTCATGATAAACAGCTCCTGCTTCCTTGATCCTATTCAAGTCAAACTATGGACCACTTAGTGTCCTCCCTCAGCGCCAAATTATCTTATACTGTTAATGTTTCACTTTTCTCGTACTATTTTCCACGCATAGTGCTGTCGTCATCTCTCTCAAAAAAAGCACCTACTCTCGAGCCCCTGTGCAATCAAAAATTACTGCTTGTTTCCTGACTTCTGAAGCCTTTGAACACATTACTTTCCAGATCTGTGCACCACTGTCCCTGAATTCCATGGCTGTTTTCCTTCAATCAAATTTTCAATCTAGCACAGTACTGGAATGGCTTTTGTCGAAACCACAATTGACATTCTGTTGTAACTGACAGTAAGCCTTGCTCACAAATGTATTGCCGTGATGTTGACAGAGAATCCAGCATTTGTTAGACATGTGGTCGAATGATTTATCTCCTTAATCTCTGAAATGTAAGGAAAGAGAATGAAGATGAACAGCAAAGAAGGGAATGCAGTGAATTAGAATCAAATTTGATTTTAACAGAAAAATCTCTAGGGACATCTTCCCACCTGTGGGAAGGAGATGCCATAGTTTGAGTAGGTTTCCTTTCTGAACCTCTGTTGAGTATAAATTATTATCAGCAGATACTTTATGGCTGAAAATACCAGTCCTGAATGGTGTTGGTGAGATTCATTGCTTGAGTACACTAATTGCACTCATAATGATGGGTGCATAAATTCTCCCAATTTTTAAAATTTGAGAAGTACTGTCTTCCTTGTGTTTGTGCATTGTAGGGAGCCATGAGCTCTTGTAAATGGTGCAGAGGAGGTTCATGAGATTAATTCCTTCATTACCCAGATAACTTTCAAGAGCTGGGTCTGTGTAAGTGTAGCCTTGGGATGATTTGATCAAAATTTAGTAGAAATTATTTTGTGTTGTGAGCCAATTTCACATGGAAAAATGAAGGAACAGCAGGGCTCCCACTTAAGAACACTTTTGCGATATTAGTAGGCCCATGGAAAAATTGCTGACCTGTGAAGTGTTTGCTGATTTACTATACGTCATCAAGCAACTGGACTTTTTGTTCAGCTGGGGGAAGAGCACCTGGTAAAGGAAGTAGGTTCCCTGTAATATAAAGTTTGGATACTGTTGGAGGGGGAGTGACCGTTCAGCGGGAAGCAGCAGTTGCCAGATTGGTGGCACTGTGATTCTTGGGCACTGCAGGCAAGGGTAAAGGTAAAGAGGATCTTAGCGATAGGAGACTCGACAGTTAGAGGGTCAGGCAGGAGATTCTACGGCGGCAAACGGGAATCCAGGATGGTGTGTTGTATTCTGGGTGCCAGAGTCCAGGATGTCTTGAAGCAACTGCAGAACATTCTCAAGGGGGAGGGTGAGCAGCCAGAAGTCATTGTGTATGTTGGCACAAATGACATAGGTAGAAATAGGGATGAGGTCCTGCAGAGTGATTATAGAGAACTAGGAAAAATGTTAAAAACCAGGTCCTCGACAATGCTAATCTCTGGATTACTTCCAGTGCCATGTGCTAGTGAGGGTATGAACAGGAGGATATAGCAAATGAATGTGTGGTTAAAGAATTGCTGAAGGGGGCAGGGATTCAGATTCTTAGAGTATTGGGATCTTTTCTGGGGCAGAGGTGACTTGTTCAAGACGGAGGGGTTACACCTGAATTGGAGGGGGACCAATATCCTGGTGGGCAGATTTGCTAGCGCTACAAGGGAGGGTTTAAACTAGATTAGCAGGGGGAACAGGATCCTTAACTGCAGGGAGGTAAGTACGAGGCTGGAAGGAGATACAGTAATCAGAAATAGCAAGTTGAAGAGACAGGTCAGGCTGGAACTGGACAGGGAGTGAGGAAGGCCTCTTGGATTAAATTTCATTTATTTCAATGCAAGTAGGCTGACCGGTAAGGCCAATGAGCTCAGGGCATGGATAGATATGAGGGGCTAGGATATTGTAGCCGTCACAGAAACGTGGCTGAGGGAGGGACAGGACTGGGAGCTTAATGTGCCAGGGTACAGGTGCTTTAGGCAGGACAGAGGTGGAGGGAAGAGGGGAGGGGGAGTTGCATTTTTGATTAAGGGGTGTATCACAGCAGTAGTCAGAGATGAGATAACTGAGCGATCATGCAGTGAGCCTTTGTGGGTGGAGCTAAGAAATAAGAGGATGGTGACATAATTGGGATTGTACTTTCGGCCCCCAAATAGTCAACGGGAA